ATATATATATATATATATATATATATATATATATATATATAGTGCTGTTTTTGTATGACAACCCAGTGATAAGGATGCCTGCAGCGCCAGCGCAACGTAATGACATCACACATGCCGTTGAGTTTAGATTTGTGAAAATTTACAAATTTTCACTGTACGAGTGTTGTCATTGTGTAGAGAGAGCAAATGTCATGAATAAATTTGACATTAAACATAATCCAAGTTGAAGTGTTACATCATTTTCTTCCCCCTTTTTGGCATCTGCATTTGGTAGCAGGCCAAATTGACAAAGACCATGCAGAATAATGTAGTATTTTAATTCCACAGCAGAGAAAGCTATGTAGTCTCTGTAAATAGGTCTAGGAAAAAAATATTGGTATTGGTATGGGTTATCGGCCAAACAATTTTTAACATATCGGCATATCGGATATCGGCCAAAAATCCAATATCGTGCATCCCTAAAAAATTTAAATAATAACTTCAGCCAGATCCTTTTTCAGACATAAATGGTTTTATAATACTGTAACCCCAGAAGCTTTGCCAGTAAAAGCAAGATCATTTTACTCCTGCTCAAACTGGTCCCTTCATTTGCTTTCTGACCTAATATAATTTAGAAGGTGGCATTTTTTTATTTTTATGTTTAACGTACATTTATTGTGACTAATCGGTGATTCACTGAACTGTAAAGTTCTGCAGATCACTTGTGATTACATCTACAGCAGATAACTTGTGAGCAAACTTTTTTTGTCCCTCTTGATTAATTTCCTTCGATGCGTGAGATAAATGATTAACTTTGTAATCTGTGATTTGATGGTCTATTAATCCAACTTATGTGGTATTTGTAATACACCCCACAGCATCATACTTCAGTGCATCTGTTTTGAAAAAATGGAAACAAATTCTGACAAGCTGCGGAACAAGAACATTTATTTGTTTCAGCCTGAAGAGCTTGGTGAAACATTTTCTTTTGACAGATTTGTGCTGCTGAGTGGAAACACTGGCATTCAGCAAACACCCCCAGCATATTTTGTGACAGGTAAAGAACAAACCTGAAAAGGTGTGCGGACAGGGAAAAGATATCCCAAATGGCCACAAAACAGAACTTAGGCTTGAGCTGAAAGGTTGAAAAGTGTATTGTGACAAAAAGCTTCTTGATATTGTCAGGGCACCACTCACTGAGCTTCGTTCTGCTGCACAGTTCGGTCCCGAATGACCTTTTTTTGTTTATGGTCCGTTTAAACTACTCACTGTGTTGCATCCAAGTAAAAGCAGCAATGGAAGCTGTTACAAGACTTGTCCATTTGTCCATTCTGACTCTCAGCAGAGGCTGCAGAGCGAAAGTAAATGTCCATCTGATCTGAAGAGAGAAACTGTTTTTAAATTGGTCTTTGTCTGACTTCCCTGCACTTAGTCCGATCCACCAAACCTGACTGCTTCATCTGGAACTGTGACATAAAACAAAGCTTCATGCACTTGAATTAATCCAATGAGCATGGATTAAACCTAACATATGGGCACCATGGGCAGTTCTATCATTTGTTGTTTCTCTAGGTGAGAAATATTTCCAACAGCACTTTTTTTTTCTTCTTTACTTCTTGGCACTCACAAGCGTGACTACTAAACAACAAACAGATGAGCATAAGGAGCTGGTTTTACTTTGCCTCACTGCAAAAATGGCCTATAGGCTTATGTCGACTTAAAACAATAATAAATTCAGCAGAAATGAAGGTCTCCGATGATCAATTTGGGAAAATCTCTCACCTTCTACATTGAAAATAAATTTTAAATAAAAGCAAAATGCTAATTTTCCTTTCCCTGGATTTAATCATCACCTTGCTATTTTTAATAGTACACAACTTTCTGTAAACAACTCTGTATATCCAACTGATGAAACTAATTCAGTGTTATAATGGCATTTTATATATTTTCTTGCCTGGGTGTAAAATTGAAAAAATATTCAGGTTTGACCAAATAAGACCATTTTAATGAGATTAATTGTTTATTTTATTCCAGTAAATTCTTGTGTTTTTATTGCATTGTTCAACAGGATGAAACATTGTACAAAGAAAAGAAACATGACCCTGGCTTTTCTCAGTTTTCATAAATTCACTGAGGAATAGAAGTAATTTTAATCAACTGAGAAACTGTCTTGGAAAAACTCTGCCAGTTCAGATACCAGACCTTATGAACTGTTTTTAAGAGGGTTCAACGTTCCTGTCAGCTTCTCTGACAAAGTCTTTATTCTCACTCTGGTTACATTATGAATCTGTCAACGCAACGATTTAAAGTAACGTAGATAGTAATGAAGACGATTCATCTTTCTAGTCATCAGCTGTTTCTTCAGCTCATATGTCTTCTTGATTAGTTGTGTCCCACAAAATACAAACTTCTTCCAACGTAGAGTCAAATATCTTCCCACTCTGCAGGCATCAGAGAAGACAAATTGTATTCTGATAACCTATAATGATGTTTCTTGAAGACTTTGTAGTTTGTTTAGCTGAGTACATTATATATTTGTACCAAAATAATAAAGCCACATTACTGAGAGTGTAAATTTTAGTGAAACTCTATGTTGCTACTTACAGGGGATGCATTTCACTAGTGTACTAGAAGAGTTAGTATTAGTTTTTATCACTACATTTTAATTGGAGGCAAACATCACATCATATAACCTGTCTCAGATACTTAATGCTGTATTTGTTGATTTGTGTAAAAGCCTGATGTGCTTGCAGCATGACAGCTTAGTGGTTAGCACTGTTGCCTCACAGCAAGAAGGTCCTGGGTTCAATCCCTAGTTTGGACCTGGGGTCGTTCTGTGTGGAGTTTGTATGGGTTTTCACCAGGTACTCTGGTTTCATCCCACAGTCCAAAAACAAGTACTGGTATGTTGGGCTTCCCTCAGACCCAGGCCCACCTTGCCAAAGAGATCTGTAATTTCAATGGGATTTGCTGTGTTAAATAAATACCAGGTACATATGATAAAAAAAACTTTTTTTTTTATTAAAACCCTCTACACCAGTCTAGATAAAGGAAATTGACAACCAAAGAAAAAATTATGTAAAGCAAGCTTAGTATTCCTGTTAGATTTGAATACATTAAATTATACATTTAAGTATGCACCCTTATGTGCCTTTACAGCAGAAGATTTAAAGCATTTTTAAATGTTCTTAGAGACAGTTGTTTATAGTTGATGAATTGCAAAATGGTAATAAATTAAATATGTGTGTGAAAAAAGATGCACTACAAAGTAGTTTTTTTTTTTTATTAAACCGTCTTATCAAAAATGGTTTAAAAAATTGGTCCAGTCTGGGTAAAAGCATCAACAATTTTTTTATATCTACATAATATATGTCATTTGATCTGAAAAGTGGTTGTGGAAAAGTGAGATGCATGTATATTAGGCCTAAAAGACAGAAGAAGCACGAAGTGTCACAATATATGCGAAATAATGATTAAAAATAGCAACAATTAATATTTTAAAATAACAGCAATTTGTTATTTTGGTTTAAAGTAAAATTAAACATTAAAGGTCCAGTTTCAGGACCTGTTCTGTCAGGACTATAAATGGTCCCACTCTTCTCCTTTTTCTCCATCCTTCCTTTTTCCACTTTCTTCTCTAATTTCCTTTTTGTCCTCAGGTAAAGGTGAGCAAGGCCTTGCAGTTCTGAGTTATGCCTTTTTATGCAATTGTTTTGGTTTTACTGACATACTAGCACCTAATATTTTCACCACCAACTAGAAAAGGACAACTCCTCATCACTACAACTCATCTGGATTGGTGTGACATTAGTAGTTAATATTTATTAAACCTTATCATGTTGAAATTAAGATGACAAAACATACTATCCATCTGACTATTTAAACAGTCAGTAGATTAATTTAAAGTAGTTTTAGTCTAGTGTTTCCTGATTTTTTGTTGTCATATGAAAATAAATGTCTGTATTAACACTGAATGTATGTTTTACATGATGCTACACACAAAAGGGCATGACACAGTAGTTTAGATTTTTTTTATCAGAGTTTGCTTACAGAAGTGTGACTCATTATGAAGTGTAGATCCCAAATGAAGGAAATCCATTTAGGTCAGCACTGTGGAGGAAAGAATAAAAACTTAGAGTTAATTGGATTACATCATTAAAAGCTCTGAATTGGATATGGAAGTACAAATCATTATGAGATAAAACCACAATCTGAGCAATAACACTCAAGCTTGAATGGATTTTCCTGACTTCAGAGATCAATAAACCTTTCGACCAAAAGCAGACACTTGTGTGACCTTCCTAATTGAACTCACTGACCAGACTGCAACCTTCTAAGTCCAGACTTTGCCTGAAGGACCAAATTTAACTTCCTGTTTAAGGTTTCATGGCCAAACTGATGGCCTTAGTAAGAACTTAGCATTTCATGGCCTTGTTGCACTCAGTGAAGCTGTCCAACACTTAAGCTTCATGGATAACCACTTCCTGCAGCTGCTTCACACTAAGGAAGACTCAGGTCCAGTGAACAGAAGCTGCCAGGAGATTAAAACTGCAACAGTCTGTGCATTCATTAACACAGCAGCTTGGTGAGTACAGATGCAGAACAAAACAGTCAACTCCCTCAGGTAAATAAAGTAAATAAAACTGGCACAAATTATTACTGTTAGGGTTTTGCTGGTCTATCAATCAACAAAGCATGTTGTTTTTGAGTAAAAGAGGAAAAAATATGCCAGCTTTGACTTTATATATGCTCTAATTCTTTCCACGTAAACCATATCTCTTGAGGACAGTAAATCCCTTCACCTGGGCAGGAGAGTGTTGCAGTCAGTGAAAGCCCAACTGAAATGCTTTACAGGTCACTTACTTTGTTTCAGGTCAAATGAGATCTATTTAATGCTCCCCTGAGGATCAGTAACACATGAGGTAATCCGGAAAGACCTTGCAAAAGGTGCTGCAGGATTCATTGAAAAATTTGTAAAAGTAAAAAAAGTTCATTTTGAACTGTAAAAAAAAGTAACAAATTCAACTCATCTTGTGATTCTGATGACTCAACATGCACCCTGGCTGATTTACTCACAAGTTGACAGCAGTAAATATTCATATTTACATCTGTAAAAAGTGTCTGGAAGTGACTATTCATAATCAGGTTACGTGCTCTATATTCAAGTAATCATACCCCACACCTTTTATATACCCAAACACAGCTTTAAATGTTTTATCCAGCAAGGAGAGATGTGAAATTTTCTTCTATTCAAATGTAAAAGCAATTGATCTTTGAAACATTCATTCTACTCTATGTTATTAATGAGTATTTGTCTGTTGATTGATGAGTGAACCACAAAGTTATATCCCTGAACAAAGACTCCTTTCTCAGCACTTAACCTCTGAGGATGGTATTAACAGGCTGAACTGAGATTTTACCTGTTTTATCCCAAATCCCACCAGCATTTTGAAATAAATAAGATGGTTGCAATATCCAACTTTCTACGGTATTTGCTCAGATGCAATGAATAAATAAGTAAACGTGAATGTAGACCACTGGAGTGGAGATAGATACCAGCTACCCCGTGACCTAGAAAGGAAAAAGTAAGTGAAGAGGATGGATGAATGGATGTTGTATTTCTTTGAGGTTCTTTCAGTTCTTTCAGTTGGGCATTAGGCTCAACAATCACATATTTCAAAGAAAAGTCTGAACCAAAGCCAAAACTACTGTTTTGCCAGATGAGATTTTTTATGGCAGGCGTTCAGATTTAAGATTGATTGAGGGTGTAATTGGAATTCAGCACAAGCAATGAAGTCTGGGCAGCAGTGATGCAGTGCACATTTATTAGGCACTTCATCTCCTGATAAATATGGAAAAGAAATATCTTACTCATCACTTGTCCTCATCTCTACGTGTCAAGGCTTTGGAGTAAAACAAAACTGAACTTTGAGACAAAGAAAGATGTCTGTTGAAAGAAAAAGATTATGCAATGTCTGCGGAGGGGATATAGTGGTTTTCACCCTCTGAGTAAAAGCGGGCATCAAATCTCTGCTTACATAAGGACCTTGTTGATTAAAACATCTGTTCTGAACCAGCACCTATTTACCTGGCATGTGGGTCTTACAGTGCCAGTGAGTTGCTATGATGGCTTTAGGAATGGGTTATCCATCAACAAAATGCAAAAGTCAGGCACATTTGCAATGAAAGAACACACTCACAATTTTTCATGTTACTTCACACCATATTAATAGATCAACATGAACAGGAAGTATGTTTGACTTGAATATCTCTGAACACTTTACCAAGTTTCAGCAATGTGTAATTGTTTTGATGGATTAGCCAATGAACCAAACAGAACAGAAAAACTCCCACTTTGTTTCGAATACGACCATAAATTTGATTAGTAGAAATTAGATTTTACAAAGGCTCATGAGAGGCTTAATTTGCATGTGGTTAGTGTATTTTTTTTATTCAGAACTGATCTTTGGATGACAGCAAAATAAGCTGTTGATTGTGTATTGGCTTCTTTGCCATAAAACAATAATTTAGAATGTTTGGACATTGAAATTTTGAGCTTTTTACTTATAATATTCTGATGGCACACAGAAATTCTTTAATAATGTTTCCAAGCCAGAAGCTGTTTTGAAGCACTTGGGGACTTAAAAACTGCCCGTTGCAATTTCTGTTTTCAGCCTGGTAGCATAATAACATTTTGCTTTCCAGTATTAGGTTACACACCAACAGCTTTGCATAAAATACATTTTTAAGATGTGATTTTTACTTGACCTGAAAAAAAAAGACATTTAAAGAGATCAGAGCTGATAAATGATCATAAATAAATCAGGATACAGGATGGAATAATCGATAATCAGTCAACACTTATGTGCCACATTACATATTTTTTTATTTTGAATTTGTCAGACAAAATGTTTAAAATGTGAGTTTATATTTTTGGAAGGTCTTTGACCTTTCCTGCAACACTTCAGCTTCATCTTCATTTTCTACTGCTTATCAGTAGTTGGGTCACGGAGGCAACAGGTCAAGGAGAGACACCCACACATCCCTCTCCCCAGCAACTCTTTAGCTTTTCTCCCAATCCATCAATCCATCTCCCATTCCATCCTAACATCACTCGTGAACAAGACACCCAGAAACTTGAACTCCTCCACCTGAGGCAAAATACACACACCCACCCACAGATGTTGTCCCAGTCCTTCATGTGACATTGAAGAGATGTGTCAACCATGACAGCCCCACAGCTTCCAGAGCCTCCGGCATCTTGGGGTGAATCATTTTCACCCCCGGTGCTTCACCAACATGATTTTATGAACTTGGTGATGGTGGGGGGTTGGTGAAAGGTGACCCATCCATCTGTATTAGATATTAAGCACTATAAGCATGTAGGAAATGGGTTTCATGAGTGAACAAAACTGTAAACACAACACTTTTGTTTTTGCGCCTATTTTTTATGAGCTCAACTCAAAGATCAAAGACTTTTTCAATTCAGTATAGTTCATTTATATAGTGCCAAGTCATAGCATAAGTTATCGCAGGGCACTGAACAAAATCATTCACATGTACACAATAGGCCCTTTTCTCTCAAATATTGTTCACACATTTGTGTAAATCAGTGTTAGTGAGCATTTCTCCTTTGCCGAGATAATCCATCCACTTCAAAGATGTGGCATATTAAGATGTTGATTAGTCAGCATGATTACAGTATTGCACAGGTGTGCCTTAGGCTGACCACAATAAAAGGCCACTTTAAAATGTGCAGTTCTATCACACAGCACAATGCCACAGATGTTGCATGTTTTGGGGGAGTGTGCAATTGGCATGCTAACTGCAGGATGTTTTCATTGTGCACAGTTTCAGGTTAGTTGATCCTCCTAAAAATCTTTTAAAAAGACCCCTGCTCTTACTCGCTCACTATACTGCAGTTATTATTGAGTTTCTTCCAGGAAATAAAAACTTGTTATATACATTCAGTTTAAACACAACAAAATTTTTTACTTCTTCATATACAAATAGTCATGTTTTTCTTGTGTATTTGCTGACAGCTCATTAGACATTTTTACCCTGCTACAATTTAGGTCATGTTTGTGTCCCAAGCATTCATTTCATTTTTAAATAAAGATAACTTAAATCTTATAACTTGTTTGAAGGAATATCTTTGTTTTTATTTGTAGATTTGTGTTTTTTGCCACTCAAGTAAACTGGAACATTTTTGTTTTGTATTATCCTCCCCTGAAGAATATTAACTTACAAAAACTGCTGAATTGCTCTTCTTGCTTGTTTGGTTGAATGTCCCTCTGTGATTAAATCCTTGTCCTTTTGGCTATGCTGCTTCAGGTTGAATCTGTTCAGGCACAACATCCCTTGAAAAAATGACAGAAAACAGAGTATCAATGTAGGATTCCTTCAAAAACTAAAGCAAGCTAGCTCTACTGCTGAAAATAAAGAACTTTTCATCTGTCATCAGCCAAATGCCCTGAAATACCTCAAATAAATATCAAACCACAGTCTTCAGGCTCTTTCCCTGAAAGGTTTTACTGGAGTCATAAATGATGGTAATTATGCCATCTGCATCCGAAGAGGGGTTAAGGCAGGATTCAATAGTGTGCAATACTCAACAGTGGAGAGGCCTGGCATTTAGATTTATGGTAAACGTGAAGGAAAAGCAAGACAGTTGACGCCTGAAATGAGT